AAAAAGAAAACAAAGTAATGCCAACTGAAATTTCTTTTATGAAGTTAAATTAAAACTGCCTTTGCTAGAATTCAAATCTCTAAATGAAAGTCCCTGAGAACTCTGTTACCTGGCAGATGCACTGGACGCTCTATTATTGGTTGACTTGGCATTCTTCATATTTCTATCTTCAGTTGTTTTCTATTAAACAGAAAATGCCATAGATAATTTATTCACCAAAACTATAACTGTTAGGCTGAGGAGCCAAACTGCCAATAAATCAGTGTTTATAAAACATCTGTGTCAAACACAGCAAGCATTGGGAGGAAATCACTGAAAGAAATGCCCTTGAGGGCATGTTAGAGAGGATCGGCTAACAATAAACACATAAACAAATGTGACTCACGAAGGAGACAAAATAGTGTACTGTGACAGAGAGGGACGAGTGGGGTCTAAGGGGCTGTTTGAATGAAGTTGATCAGGCAGAGTCTCCCTGAAGGGCTGATATCAAAGCTGGGAGAAATAATGAGTGGAAGGGACTCATGGGAAAGTCAATGGAAATAAAGAAACAGCAAGTGCTAAAAGCCTGCGACAGGAAATAGCTTGATACTTCTGAAACAGACAAAAGTGAATGGTGGGGAAGCACAGCCAATGGTGGGCAGAACGGAGGACTATGTGCACAGAGAAGAGCCATATGAAATCATTAGGAGGCGGTAAAGAGTTTGGGTTTTTTTCTTTGGATGAGAAAACCACAAAGAGACTTTAATAGGGAACAGTTTGATTCAGACCTAAGAAAGGTCACTCAGTAGAGAATAACAATAAAGGCATGAGTGCAGTCAAAAGAGTATACTATGATCTCACTTTCTAATTCTAAATTAGGGCTGTCTTTTCTAATGTATAATGACCTCTATGCCGATTTTTAAGATACTATCTATAAACTCTGGAATATTCTTCTTTAGGGATAAGTTTTCTACTTTACACAGACTGATTGGTGCTAGCAGTAAAGTGAGCACAGATGTAAACACATCCCTACCCCAGCAGTAGTGTTTCCTCTCAGGTAGCTAAGGCTGATATGCCTAGAACGTGGCTTAAGGAACGTCTCCATACATTTTAATACAAGCCGCATTTCGTGTGTGTATATTGTTATCTTGTAGTATAAAAGTCCTGCTCAACATGTTTGCCATTAGTACTGCTCTCTTCCCCTAACAGTGAATATACATAGCTGCCAGATAACTGTTGCTATAAGAGATAAAGACCAAGTTTAGGAACAACAAAAACTAAAAATGCTATGCCATAAATTTTCAAAGAATAGTACTCAGGTACAATTCAGTGTAGGGACAAGTAATCCACATACCAAAAATCTGTTTCTTAAGTTTCTATAATAATAATGTTCTTGATGATGACACTATCCATCTCTTTAAAAAGGCATGGGTATTGATAAACATTCAAAGATTTTCATTACAATGGTGAAAATGTTTTAATGTGATATAAAAAAAAAACTCTTTAATTCAAAAGCTCAGAAATTGTTTCAATAGTTATATTTTTAAAATATGAAGACCTATAGAAACTCAGGCACTATAGGTATTTATTTCTTTTTCTTTTTTTAGCTTTTGATTTTTTTATTGGTAGAGGCAGTGTTATTTTTGCTCT